CCACGTTTCATCTTCAATGCCCTTGCTGATGGAAGGAGGTTTTCACTCAAAATATCACGATACATGGCCCCATTCATTCTTTCCTTTACACGGATCAGTCGTCCTGGTCCCTTTGCAGAAAAACAGCCCCAAAGCATGATGTTTCCACCCCCATGCTTCACAGTAGGTATGGTGTTCTTTGGATGCAACTCAGCATTCTTTGTCCTCCAAACACGACGAGTTGAGTTTTTACCAAAACGTTCTATTTTGGTTTCATCTGACCATATGACATTCTCCCAATCCCCTTCTGGATCATCCAAATGCACTCTAGCAAACTTCAGACGGGCCTGGACATGTACTGGCTTAAGCAGGGGGACACGTCTGGCACTGCAGGATTTGAGTCCCTGGCGGCGTAGTGTGTTACTGATGGTAGGCTTTGTTACTTTGGTCCCAGCTTTCTGCAGGTCATTCACTAGGTCCCCCCGTGTGGTTCTAGGATTTTTGCTCACCGTTCTTGTGATCATTTTGACCCCACGGGGTGAGATCTTGCGTGGAGCCCCAGATCGAGGGAGATTATCAGTGGTCTTGTATGTCTTCCATTTCCTAATAATTGCTCCCACAGTTGATTTCTTCAAACCAAGCTGCTTACCTATTGCATATTCAGTCTTCCCAGCCTGGTGCAGGTCTACAATTGTGTTTCTGGTGTCCTTTGACAGCTCTTTGGTCTTGGCCATAGTGGAGTTTGGAGTGTGACTGTTTGAGGTTGTGGACAGGTGTCTTTTATACTGATAACAAGTTCAAACAGGTGCCATTAATACTGGTAACGAGTGGAGGACAGAGGAGCCTCTTAAAGAAGAAGTTACAGGTCTGTGAGAGCCAGAAATCTTGCTTGTTTGTAGGTGACCAAATACTTATTTTCCACCATAATTTGCAAATAAATTCATTAAAAATCCTACAATGTGATTTTCTGGATTTTTTTCCCTCAATTTGTCTGTCATAGTTGACGTGTACCTATGATGAAAATTACAGGCCTCTCTCATCTTGTTAAGTGGGAGAACTTGCACAATTGGTGGCTGACTAAATACTTTTTTTCCCCACTGTATGCTGAAAGAGTGAAACTCTTTTCTACTTCTCTGCAGGCTGTCAAACTGTGAAGTCCAAGAGAAAGGCTGTGCTTCTCTGGCTTCAGCTCTGAGGTCAAACCCCTCACACCTGAGGGAACTGGACTTGAGCTACAATAATAACCTGCAGGATGCAGGAGTGGCCAATCTTTCTGCTGCACTGGGGAATCCACTTTGTCATCTGGAGACACTGAGGCAAGTGCTGATATAGAATAGTGTTGTTAAATCTTGTTCCTGGAGACACCCTCTGAGTTTCAGATAGTTGAGATACTGATGGTTGACACTCAATAAACTGTAAAGATTCAGCTAAAACAGAAAAAACATATCCCTCTCTTAACTGCAGGCTTAATAACTGTGGAGTCACAGAGGAAGGCTTTTCTTCTCTAGCCTCTGCTTTGAAGTCCAACCCTTCACACCTGAGACAGCTGGACATGAGCAGCAATAAAGCAGGAGACACAGGAGCAAAGCTGCTCTCTGCTGCACTAGAGCATCCAGGTTGTGAACTATTGAAATTGAGGTGAGTCTTTTTGTAATAATGTGTAACTAAACAGGGAAGGGATTTAGAATTTTAGCTAAAGTTACTGTCTCAGCTGGTATCAAGATGGAGTGAAGGCCTCTCCCCTTCCTTTTTGCAGGCTGTCATTGTGTGGTGTCATGGAGGACGGCTGCTGTTCCCTAGCTTCAGCTCTGGAGTCAAACCCCTCACACCTGAGACAGCTGGACCTGAGTAACAATTTCCTAGGAGACTCAGGAGTGAAGCTGCTCTCTGCTTTACTGGAGGACCCACACTGTGAAATCAAGACACTGAGGTACAGTTATACAACTTACTACAATACTTCATTCATATAATTCATTATTATATTTGGAAAGCGTCAAACTGTGAAGGTCTGTGGCTCTTAGCTATGCGTTTAAAGTTAGGCTGAGGCTGCGCGACCAAAGGTAATTGCCCTGTTCCTCCCCGTCCAGCCCCCCTGGAAGCCTCTTCCCCAGAGCTAAAGAACCAAATAATGCGCTACGCATTATCAAGTCAAATCAAATCAAATTTAGACTGCCTGTCTGTGCCGTGCTTAGGTTTATAATAGCCCACAGACAAATACGTTTGTTGTACAACATGTTGATCATCTCTTTTGTACAACATGTCGAAGTTTATAGGCTACAAAATGCCTGATCAATCTGTGCACAGAGAATCTGGCACATGCACAGACGCTGATTTAGCTATCGGGAAGAGCATTCCAGAGAATTCGGCAATGCAGCCACTCGTTATAACATTATATTTCTCTCTGCAGGCTTACAGACTGTTACATTTCAGAGGAAGCATTTGTTTCTCTGGCTTCAGCCCTGAAATCAAACCCCTCACAACTAAGAGAGCTGGACCTGACCAGGAATAACGGAGGAGACTCTGGAGTGAAGCTGCTCTCTGCTGGACTGAAGGATCCATGCTGTAAACTGGAGAAACTGAGGTGAGTTTTATAATTGGCTGTGTTTATCAAATTACTGTGGTTAAGAGAAAATTATGTTTCTCATTATCTGTTGACATTTTTACCAGCCTGTTTTGTTGTAATCTGAGTTGGGAATGCTGTGAGGCACTGGCAGCAGCTCTCAGCTCAACCTCAAATCTGCGAGAGCTGGACCTGAGTCACAATTATTTGGGGAATTCAGGAGTGACAATGCTCTCTGCAGGATTGGGCAATCCTCATTGTAAACTGATGATCCTGAGGTATTGGATTGAATTTAACTACTTTTATTGATTTTAAAGTCACCAATTATTTGTCTTATTTTTGATTTTCTCAACCTTTGAATTGAATTTCAGTTCATCTTCAGAAATGGCTAAGTTAATTACTTTCATCCTCTGCAGGCTCTGTAATTGTGCTATGACAGAGGAAGGCTGTGCTTCTCTTGCCACAGCGCTGAGGTCAAATCCCTCTCACCTGAGCAACCTGGACCTGAGTTTCAATTCTCCAGGAGACCCAAGAATGAATCTGCTCTTTGCTGTGCTAGAGGATCCCTGTTGTAAACTGGAGATTTTAATGTGATTAATCATGACAAGCTTTTGTGCCATTACAATCACCGCAATTTGCTTATTCCATGTTGTGGGAATTAGTTAACGGGCATGGTTATAGATGTATTATACAAACTAGAAAGGCATTCCTGTCATATTACAGTTTGCATCCTTAGTTACAGTGTTTTTTGTTTTCCCTCCAGTCTGGAAAACTGTAACCTCACCGAGAATTGCTGTGCAGCACTGGCCACTGCTCTCAGCTCAAACTCCTGTAGTCTGAGAAACCTGAACCTGAGTGAAAATAACCTATATGATTCAGGAGTACAGCTACTCTCGGCTGGACTGAAGAAACCACAGTGTAAACTGGAGACACTGAAGTATGTTTACATGGCTTAGCCTTAGTCAATGCAGATGTGGGCTTTATACTGAAAGGTTTTTATATAAGAATGTTTGATCTGACATGGAATAACTGGATTCTCTTGCTGTAGGGTGGCAAACTGTAAGTTCAAAGAGGATGGCTGTGTTGCCCTGGCCTCAGCTCTAAGCTCCAACCCCTTCCACATGAGAGAGCTCGATCTGAACCAGAACAGGTATGGGCGTGGAAAAGCCTTGCTCCAAGCACTGCAGAAGGATCCACACTGTAAACTGGAGAAAGTGGGGTGAGTGGTATAGTTGTGGTATAGTGTCAAGAGTATCACAAATTTCAGTCAAGATGTGTTTGTGTCTGTCAATATTGCAAGTCATTGTGTTTCATTGATAATGCAAGTTGACTGAAAACAAATATACCTTAACAGTGGCACAGCTAAATTATAAAGAGCTTATGTTGCACTCTCTATTGAACCGTATGTTTCTTTCTTTCTGATGATCCCGTATTTAGCTCTCCTGTATACATACGACTCATTATTATTGTTCTGCAAAATCCTCTCTTTTAGATTGGTCCCAATGTGAAACAGCCATCTTTATAAAGGACAGAGAAATCAGCCGCATTCTGAAGAGACAGTCAATTTTACCTTTGTTTAACTAAGCAAGTCAGTTAAGAACAAATTCTTATTTACAATGACGGCCTACCCCGGCCAAACCCGGAAGACGCTGGGCCAATTGTGCGCCACCCTACGCGACTCCCAATCACGGCCGGGTTGTGATACAGCCTGGAATCGAACCAGGTCCTGTAGTGACGCCTCTAGCACTGAGATGCAGTGCATTAGACCGCTGCGCCACTCCGGAGCAAGAGGTGACATGGACGCGGTACTCAACCGTTCTTGAAACCACTGAACTGAAAACATGCTGTGTGTAGACTAAATAGACCAAACAGATGCAGCGTAGGGTCCACATTACAAAAAAAGTTAGATTAATTATTTTTTTGATTATGCTTTATCATTTTGAAGACGCTCAACACCTACAATACAAATGTGATGCATATGTATGCAGTACAGTACTGATCTTTGAAAAATATATAGGTTATGTATTTTCCGAGATAGATGTGGACATATTTAAAATTCATCAATATTAGTCTTGATAAAACTCAGTGACTTGGACAAAATGGGATTGATTGTCAATGTTCTATTTAATGTTATGGGAATAAAATACAATGTTAGTATGGTACATCATTTTGTATATTCTTAGACATCCTCATCAAATGAATATCTTAAGATAGTTTGTCACACACGCATGTACACGCGCACACACACACACACACACATACAGGTCTGCTGATTCAGAGGCTGAATTCTCCTGTTACCATTAGGTGCTCATTAGTGTCCTCATCTGGGCCCTGTGAAAAGAGACTGTTTGTTTAGTGAGTCCAGTTCACCTAAACATGTGACCATGTCAATATGTATTTCATCGTGTGAGTGTGTATTTGGGCAGGTGCCTGTGTGCAAATGTGTGTCCATGCATATGTGCTAGTGTTTGTATATGTGTATGTGCGTGTGCAGGCATTTGCGTGCATTTGGGCTTGCCTGTGCTAGACGGTTGTAGGTCTGAGTGTGGGGGCCGCTGTACCGTCGTAGACCTCTCCAGGACAGGAAGAGAGTGTAAACAGAGGCCAGCAGACACTGTACTGTGAACATGATAGAGCTGCCCTTCGCTATGTACACACCCACACGCTGAGAGGGAGACAACAGAGGAGACAAAGAAAGGAGGGGGTTACACACAGAGAGACACACACATATGCACACACACTCAGACAGTACAACACACCTGTTGGTCTGTGTAGAGTGCTTTAGCATGTGTAGTGATGAGGCTGTAGGCCAGCAGAGCACAGGACCCCAGCAGTAGGCTGAAAATGTTCAGGCCTACCAGTGTGGTCACCTGCTCAACACAAACAGAACAGTGAGCATAACAACTTAACACTCATCACAATCACAGCAGCAATGAATCTTGCGACTCACTACAAACAGTGGCGAACAACACAAAAGATTCACTAGGGTGAGACGTCAAAATTGGGATAATTAATTCAAAAAGTATATCATTAATCTTTTGATGAATCAGATCGCTCATTGAACAAAGCACTCGTATGATAGATACTCACGTTGAGTTTGTTGGGTTTCCTCTGAACTTCCATTGCCAGCCCTCCAGTGGCCAGATACTGTAACAACACACAATAACCAGTTTAGTGACATAATCTATACCAGGGTGATGTTCAGTGGGCACAACATGGGAAAAACATTTTGAAACAGGTAGTGACAACATAGACTGTGTCAACCGGGGATGGCTAGGCATTAGCTCAGTGGGCTAACACAGTCTTGCATAAGACAGTGAAAAGCGAGGACTCACAAACAGGCCAGACCAGATTGGTGTAGTCATGGAGACGGAACAGTTGAAGCTCACGCAGGCATAGGTTACTGTGGTTAGGATGGAGGCCAGGGCACCGAAGAACTGCAAAACCTTAGAGTGACAGCGAGAGAGAGGGAAGCGGGAGAGAGAGAGACAGGAGAAGTACTCTAGAGTGAGGGTTTTGGGTAACTCTTTATTTCACAGGAAATGGTCAGGTATTTACGAAACTACATAGTAAAATTATAATAACACAGTAATAACTGATTAATAACCATGTTTGGTCACAGGGCACTGATTAGGAACCACAGGGTTGTTTTTTGTTTTCCTCATCTCACCCCAGTGACAAGGAGGCGGGTGTTAACGACTGTCCCAAACCAGCGTCCAATCCGCACATCTTTAAATTCTTCCTGATTGGTGGTTACAGTGAATGAGTGGCCCGAGGAGCGGTCCTTAAAAAAAACATGGTACAGCCCCTCTTGGAACATGTTCTGAGTCATCTGAGAAAGGCAGACAACGAAAACATGTTGCGGTCTGATGATGTAAGAGGTATGTCGCTGTTTGATGATGTAATAACTACAGATGAAGATATTAGGAAAACATATCTCATCTAATGGGCATATAAGGCTACACACACACACACACACATTCACATACACACGCCCATACACACACACTCAGTCACATTCGGACACACTCTGATCACAGCCTTTCCCTCTCTATCTTACCTTCAGCAACAATGGTTCCACAGCCTGGTATCCTCATCAACAACTTTCATATCCACAAATGACAGAATCAGCCTTCTAGAGGGGAAAAAAGGGACCTGAAATCATGAAGACTTTGTGTTAGTCAGTCATTCACAGTGTCTCACACTTCCACCCTCACCACCCCAGACTGACATGGTCAAAGTTCACCTGAAGCATAGTTTTCTTCCAGGCTGATATGGCCCACCTCTAAGGAAGGGATACTGTGTTCTGATTGGCCAGAGAGAGAGAGAGACTTGATCAATGAGGAGATCTGATTAATCTGGCCCCGGCGCCCGGGTAGGCACGCATTGCACCGGGTGAAAGTTGATTGCATTAGTTTTGGAACCGGGCTGCCTCCAGGATGTGAGCCAGGTTCTCCCTTCAAAGCCCACGGCGAAGTCGGCTCAAAACAAAAGTGACGTAATTAAGCACGTGGAGTAATGATTAGGATTCTGTGTTTTCACATAACATTACAATGCTTTATCTGCCTTCCAAATGAAAACTAGTTTGAAAATTGAAACATTTATTTTATGGACAAGAGATGTCTGTTTCTGGACGATGCACCATGCTGCCTTGTTGACAACATGACCGAGCAGTGCAGATTACTGTTCGATTTGAGAAGGGCACTCATCCCTCACCGCTTTTGCCCGTTCACGTCACAGGCCATAGGCCGGTGCCCCGCGACTCAGCATAATGAAATCTTCCCTATGTTTGTCTAAGGTGTGTGTGAGTGTCAGAGAGAGAGAGAGAGAGAGAGAGAGAGAGGGAGGGGGGGGGGGGGGAGAGGGGGAGAGAGAGAGAGAGAGAGAGAGAGAGAGAGAGAGAGAGAGAGAGAGAGAGAACTGAACAGGTGAGGTTAGGTCATAGCAGTGGAGACACATTCTGGAATATTCAATCGAGTCTAGCCTAGCTAACGATCAGTCTAAGCAGATGGAAATGGGTCTGTGCACTGTATTGACATGACCATGTTTTACAGATGTACCATGTTACATAGCATGTTGCACAAAATGTCTGCCGTGCATTTCCCAGGTGCTGCTACACATTGGTGGTGGATGAGTTTGTTGGTGGTGGTGAGTTTGTCCCAGAGAGTGCTCTGAGACCTAGTGTGGCAAGATCTCTATAGCGCTGGTACTATACTTGACTTTTCTTTTTATAAATTAATTATCACTATTGTTATCAAGTGTGGATATTTTGGAGACTTGTCTTTATTTTGTATTATATATTTTTTCACTTATTTTACCAGGTAAGTTGACTGAGAACACATTCTCATTTACAGCAAAGACCTGGGGAATAGTTACAGGGGAGAGGAGGGGTGATGAATGAGCCAATTGGAAGCTGTTGTATACAGTACTGATATGTGGCACCCCCTTGAATCTTACACTCTGAAAGCTTGTCAACAACTTGTGGTGGAATGAGTGAGCAAAGCATGAGTGCCATATGTACGTATTAACAGTGAGTGGGCTAGGAAGTCTGCTAATGTTGGGCAATTCTGCTGGCACAAACAGACTGAGGTTTACTCTGTATTGCTCCTACACACAGTAGGGTAGTTAATGGTTAACACTAGTTAACCATTACAACTACAGTATACAGTATGTATCCAGTAAACATGGTAGTCCCCGCCCCAAGAGAGAAGAACTAGGACAGTGTCATACTTTCTGCACTACAGGAACTATATATTACCTTGGCAGTTACTTTATCAGCATTTATCAACATTGTCAACGTTATCAGCCAAGACACTTTGACACTAAAAGGGTAATTAATGCATACATTAAATGTTGCGATTTGCCAGATCACAGTTTGGATTGAGCTTCTTCTTGTTGCAGGTAAGGCCAGGGTAATCATTTACAAGTCACTGTTGATCTCATTATTTTTTGATTTTTTTATGTAACTGGTGTGGACTTGTGCTTATAGAACTATATGTTCCAAAATGCATGTTTGCCCACTTGTCACCTGTTGTGGTTCCTCTTAATTCTGTGAGGGTGGTATTAAACTTCCCAGAGTTTTGATGTTGCTACACAACCACTGAGTCTTAATTGGTGTGCACTGTGTAGGTATTCTTCTCACATCACATAATATTTCAGACACTTTGCACATGTTAAATGTACTGGATATGCCTATGCTACTGTCACCCTTTTAGGTTATCATCCCCCCAGGACGGTGTGAAAAGGACAAGCCATGTTAGGCAGGTTTTAGTTCAGAACACTTCATCTTTAGAGTGGACACCAGACACCTCCACAGAGACAGAGCTCTTGGCAAAGGTCAAATCAAAACAAACAGTGACATCCATTACAGACACTACAATAAGAATAACTGGTCATAATTGTATTTAAACTTCACAAAAGCCAACTTTATAGAACTCAAAGCCATTGGTTTAATGACATTGAGAATCAACGTGGTAAGAGTTGATTCACAATAAAAAGTGAAATGAATATGAGTGGTGTTTGAATGAGCTTTGGATTTGAATGTTATGGACATACTGCCTCATTGATGGAAATTATGTTTATGGTCTAACAGGTCTGCTAGAACATTGAGAGGACCTTGGCCCTCATTAAACAGATAAAGGATAGAAGGAGGTGTGGGGATCTATTTTCTTATAACTAGATGTGCTGTTAGCTTAATAAGAAAGCATTAATGATTAAACATAATAGGTTTGTACTGTACTGATATGGATTGTTTAATATAACAAGCTGTGATTCATGTGGGGAACTGTTAGGGGGTAGGCTGAGACAGACTTGTGATTCACACAGACACACACACTGCCTCTTTGTTAAACTGCTCAAGGACAAACTATGTCTGAGGTTGCTGACTCAAAACAAGTTATGGAGATAACAACTAATGCCTGGCAACAGTGAAGCGCCAAGGGACTGGGACCAGCCTGTGCGCCAGCGATAGGCTGGGTAAGTTTAAACCACGCCCAGCCTCTACTCTGATAGGCCAGCAGGGAGCAGGAACTATCTCTGTCAGAGTATTTAAAGAAGAACTTATAACAATGGCTCAGTTCTCTGACTGCCCTGTGTGGTTTTTCAGTGGGCCCGTATATACGAACATCATATTTACCAATTCAAGTGTTTGCATTAATTAAAATACTAGTCTATTTTAGAAGACGTGTATTGACCTCTTTTTGTTCCTATACCAGATTTGAATTGACGCAATTTAACAGAGGAAAAAATGGAGGAGGGAAGGGATTATTTGAGTATTATATCTATTTCAAGTCAGAAGTCCTCATCAATACTAAAGCCTACTCATCATCATTCATGTCAAGGTCTGAGTAGTCCACCATGGCATAGTCATATCCCTCAGCTATCCACTACTCTGCTCTGCTTTACTTTATTTTATGTTTTACAGTGGGTCTTTCCTGCTGTGAAGGCCCTGAAGCACTGGAATTCAACTCCTCAGACGTCCACTTCAAGGTGGTGTCAGACGGGGAGGTCAGAGTTCATAGAGCTCTGGGGGACAGACCCAGACACTTCAGCGTCTACCTCCTGGGTCAAAGGGTAGGAGCGTCACTGCGGCCCAGATACTGGTGACCTATAGCCCTGAGGGTCGTTGTCATGGTGATCGTCATCACCATGGAAAGGTGGGCAGATTACCTGGTCCAGTTCAGGTGGGATTTTTTTTATGCTGGTAGCATTTTCATGTTGGTAGCAAAATGTATCTTTATGTTTATGTGGTGTCTTGTTGTATCCTGACATGCTACACTCTGAAAATTAAGGGTAAGGTTACAATATTGTTCCCTGGGTACAAAAATATCAAAATACACATAATGATCCTTCAGGGGTACACATACTGTATGATCTCACATGGTACTGTTCAGTACCTTTTAGGGTACATGTGCGGATAATCTAGTACAGTGGTCACCAACCTTTTCTGAGCTGAGATCACTTTCTGAGTCAAAATGCAGGCCAAGATCTACCGCTCAGACTTTTTAAAAAACATTACCCGCCGGGTAGGCAGAGTTTGTACCTTCAGACACATAAACTGGTTCAAAATGGGAACACTTCAACTACCCGGCATCAGGGCAGCTGAATCAAGTGCACCTACCGCAAACAGCGTGAAACAAATACAAAAATAGGAAAGGAAGGCTTTTTACAGAAATGTTTGCTGATCGACTAGGAAAGCCTCTAGTACAATGGTACATTTTTGTACCAAATATTTTGAATATAAAGGTACAATCATCACACACACTCAAAAAAAGGGGTGAACTATCCCTTTAATATTTTGTCCTGACCTTAAACCAACACTGAGCGAACTTGTCAGGAGGTACTGACCTCTTGGCGTATTGGTTAAGGTGTTGGCTTGACAGTGGCTGGACCCAGATTTGAGTCCCAGTCTGGGCTATCCCCCGAATTCACCACATTGGTGTCAGAAGTGGGATGGCGGAGAGGGATGTACATGTGAGGGACTTGATATAGAGAAGAGGTATATTTTTGCCACTTAAAAGGAACAAATGGCTTTATCACTGTGGTGGTACCCTAAAAAGGCAACTTAGTACCTTTTCTAAAGGTACGCTTTAGTACCTGTGGACTATACATTTACATTTTAGTCATTTAGCAGACGCTCTTATCCAGAGCGACTTACAGTTAGTGAGTGCATACATTTTCATACTGGCCCCCCGAGGGAAACGAACCCACAACCCTGGCGTTGCAAACGCCATGCTCTACCAACTGAGCTACAGAGGGCCTATACGGTACACTATTGGCTCTGTTAAGGTACAAACTGCAAGGGTACAACTATGTACCTGTAACTAATGGTACAATGGACGTACCTTACAGGGTACCACAACAGTGACAAGCGTTTGTACCCCTTTATGTACAAATTGGTACCTTTTTTTCTGAGTGTAGGTGTGGTGCTGTTGCAGAGATAATTTTTTCCTGTTTATAGATACATTACTGCTTAATGAGATATGTAAACAAACCTCATCTCTCAGGGTGAGCCCTTCCCAGCGGTCCCTGTGCTGGAGTTCCCACAATCCAGTGCGAGACAGAAGAGGAGGAAGAGGGATTGGGTCATCCCTCCAATCAATGTAGCCGAGAATGGCAGGAGCCCCTTCCCCAATCCTATAGTGCAGGTATGTGTCTGTTACACACAAACACACACAGGTACCTCCTCTATGTTGAAGACTGCTGTGTGTTTCCTATGTTGTTCAGATCAGGTCCAGTAACGATAAGG